TCTCTGTGGCTCTCCCCTGGGAGAGCATGCTTCCCACGAGGCTGGAGGGGCACCTGGAGCTGGGGTGGTTTTGCATATGCAGCTTGAAAAAGTCCCCACGTGTTTCTGACAAGTCCTTCAAACACAGCCTCTTGGTTGAGACTCACTGAGCTGGAGAACTAGGATGAGATTCTAGGCAATAGTCCAGAATAGACTGGGAATTTGGGGATCGTGGAAACAGGGTCTTCCCCCACCTTCCAGGCTCTCTGAAAGACTATCCCTGAATTGGGCCACTGAGAACGAACTGCATTAATTTCCTTGTGAAAAACAAATTTTTTTCTTTTCCCCGATGGCCAGAGGATTGCTACTGGAATTGACTGCACATCTGAGAGAACCCCTAGAGAAGACAGGACGGCGAGAGTGTTTACACCCTTCCCTGACCTGATTCTATTTCAAGGCCTCAGGTCATTAGCTGCTGGCAGCAGATAGTATGCATGGCTTCCCACAGTTTGTGACCAAATTTGGGCATAACTCTATATTTTTTCCTCCCTGAAGTGATTGTTATTATTTACTGAAAATTCCATTAATAAATCCTAACAGCAAAGACCTTGTTTTTTTTCTACACAATTCTCACTAATTAGAAGCTAATTATTCACTGTCTGGCTATAATGTAAATAATGTTTAATTGCCTTTTAAATGAGAAGGTTTATCACAGTTCTCTAACAATAAACCCTCAACCCTGCTACCTTGTGCATCATGGATGGACATGGGAAACTCGTCAGAGGCATTTTGACTATTGCAGCAAAGATTGTACGCAAAACAAAAACCAGACACCAATAACCAGTTCTACTGCTTTGTGCGACATCAGGAAAGTAACGCTGACTAATTAGCCCTGACTTTCCTCATTTATAGGTTAGGCTAGAATGTGACAATTAGGTTTCTCTTGCATCCCAATGGGTCTGATCAATACTGGCTACCTGGAATGCTAGGCTGAAAAAGTATAGGGAAATGGTGCTGCAATTGATTGTTGATGTCTGCCAGGTTGAGGGAGCAAGAGTGGCATAATTTATCAAGCGTTTGCCAACTCTAGGTTTTGCAGTGTCTCAGGTCTGTCCCTGTAGACATACACAGAATGTGTTTACTGTGTGAGCTGGCCCTAAAGGCAAGGGTGAGCCAGCAGAAGTTTAGTACTTCAGTATGTTATTCATAGGTGTAGATGACCAAAGCCTCCAAAAGGTGTGGGAATCCTGGGGTCTTAGTGCACCCCAGAATTTGTTATGCCCTGGGTAAGCCTGACACCTAGGCTCACATGGAGTCCTTTCTGGTGTGTTGCTACTAACCAGCCTAGGCTTTTAGGTCCCCAGGTCACCTGGAACATTGCTGGATGAGGACAGGTAAGGGACTGAGATGAGTAGCATCCTGGGAAGACGTGTCTATTAAAATACTGAGACAAACGATTATGATTCTTGTAATCATTATTCTTAGAATATGGATACTAAATATTGGTTCAGATATACCAAAAAGACCCAATTTTAGAGATTTTCTCAGTCTTAGAGAGCTTATGTAACTTGTTTAAGATCACATAAGGTGGGGAGGAGGGAACTAACATATACTAAAATCCTGCTATGAGCCAGGCACTTTGTGGAGTTATAATTCACTTACTCTTTCCCACAACCCATGGTGGGGTAGTAATACAGGGTCAAGCACAAATAATGCCCCTTTTTAATTACAAAATCATAAGCATGTAATTCTGTAACATAACAATATCACACTCAAGCACACCATATGATATTTTGGGTGAAATGTTCAAATTAAAACTATAAATTATTACATCCATATTATTACCCAACCAACCACACTCAAGCAAGGGTTACTTCTGCCAGACCCTGTACAATAGCATTATTTTATAGACAAGGGATGGCTGATGCAGAGTCATTGAGAACTTGCACGCAGCTGCTTAGGAAGAGGTAGACCAAAGCCAGTCTTTCCAACAGCTCTGGGCTCTGATAATAGCACACTTTATATCAAGATTTGTATGTGTTTGGAAACTGTCAATGCACTTGTGCCCCAGTACTTTGCCATTTGTGACCGTTAGACACTATTTTAAAAAAATTAATTATACAAATGTTTGTAGGCCAATTGCTAACATAAACAGTTGTATGACTATTTTTCTTTTGTAGTTTATTTTTATTTTTACAAATTGTACCATGATAACATGTAATGAAAATCACTCATCTGAAATATTCTCCCTTAACATTCCTTATGTCAATCAAATGCATACTACAATAGATTTTTTTTTTAGTTAAGTATAGAGTTCTTATGATTTTATGATTTTAGTAATACACAACTTTAAGATGAGACTATAGAGAAATAAGTTTAGAAAATGCAATTCTACAAGATTGTGAGTAGGGAAAAGAAACCCGGTCAGGGCTGCTGTGCTCTAGAAAACCAGGTGTTATCACCGCCATGAATCTCCACTGTGGTCAAACTTAAAAACCTGTCCTCCAAAAAGGATGAAGGCATTCTGGAAAAATACAGTAATTCCAGGGTGTACTGTGTTTTTTTCTGTTTTTTTTTAAAGCAATATAAGTTCCAAAGAATGAAATGTGTTAGAGAGTTGTGAATGAAATATTGATGGAAAACTTAAATTTTCTTGGTGAAGTATAGGTCTGTAAAACTGTACCAGTAAAAATTGGACTCAGAAATAATGAAGAAGATTCCCCATAACAACTGATTGGTAAACATTTTGATATGAATATAGAAACAAAACTTGGTTGACGAATTGAGTCCCTATTTTAAAATTTACACAGGAAGCAATGTTTCCATGAAAATTTCATTAAAATGAAGAGGAAAATAGTGTCCTTAAAAATAATTGATCAAAGATTTTAATCAACTTAGTGAATATTGCCTGAAATAAACATTAATATCATTCTGCTGAAAATGTTGACAGTCTCAAACATTGAGAATACCGTTAGGGGCAAGCCCCAGAGTTTTTAACCATCACTGGGTTGAATGCAGGGTCAAAATGTCATCATACCTTTTTCCTAAATATCAAGTAGTTCATAAGTCCTTTTCTCTGAGAAGTGGGATTCATTTTGGAAGTAAGGAAGATGAGAGGAGTGTAGATTTCAAACTTTTCTTAAACTTGACTATGTTCCCTCCAATTTGGGTAACAGAAAGGCTCAGGTTTACTTTAAAATTTCTGACACTGTGTGAACTTGGGCATGTTACTTAACCACTTTGGACCTCATATTTCTATCTGTAAAGTGTGGACCAATAATGGTATCCAACTTAATGAGTTTTAGTGAAGATTAAATGAAATGATGTATGCAAAGTATTTAGCATTAGAGTAGACCCTTAGCTGTTAATATGATGTTTGGAACTGTGGTCAGAACAATCGATAAAATTATAAACAGAATGAAGAATCCAATCAAGCAACGAAGAGATTAGTTGCATGCTCCAGTGGCATAGAACGACTGGCTCTAACCCAGTGCGGCTACAGAGTTCACCTACTCAAACAATGAGACAAAACTTTAAAAGAGATTTTAATTTAAAAAAAGGTAATGGTAATGATGCCCTTTGGACTGCAAAAAACTCCAGCCGCAAGGCCTAGGCTAAGTGAGGCTGGGACCCTCCATGGACATGAGATAGAGTTGACTTAAAGCCTGAGTGCTACATGATTCCTTTGGGCTCCAGTGGACTCATCTTGGTAGTTCATAGGGACAGACATGTCATGGTAAATAATGACATTGGGACCCAGGCTCAATCATCTTATCCTGTCAGAGATGGTAAATCTGCTCATTAGCTGGGTGACTTTTCAAAGCCTAGGAAGAAATTATAGACATATAGAGATAATGAAGTAAATGAACTTTATAGTATTAATACTTTGATGTGGTTCAGGTGTGTTTTATAATCACTGGAATATGTGGAATGTATTTGTAGTTTAAGGTGTTTGAAATAAATGTGGCTTATTAGATAATCTGATTACAATTTGAAATGTGTAATTTATATTAGACTCATAATATTAATTTTAAAGGTGTACTAGACTTATTAAGTTTGTAAATGATATTTAAATGTTTAAGATTACCTGGATTACGGAGGCATGGAAACATGGAGCAGACTGAAAGTGACCAGAGGGGATGGGGAAAGAGGACAATGGTGGAAAGAAGGGGAAGGGACTAGACAAAGAACATGTATGAATGACCCATGGACATGGACAACGGAGTGGGAATTGACTGTGGGAGCAGGGGTGAGGGTAGGGCCGGGGGACGGGGTAAAGGGGGAAAAATTGAGACAACTGTAATCGAATAAACAGGATTTATAAATTTAAAAAAATTTAAATAAATAAAATAGAAAACATAGTTTTAAAAAATTGCCTGGTTTACTATATTTTATTTAAGTTTGATAGATGAATAGGAATTGCTTAGGAACATAGGGAGATTTTGTTTTTATTTTGGTTTGTAAGTCTGTCAGGCTTTTGGAGTGGTTATGAGAATTAGGCATGTTAAATGTGTAAAATTTCAAAAGTGCCTGGGAGAATATAATTCATGAATTGGGTTAATTATTTTGAATTTAATCTTTTAAACTTTTCAGTGAATTGAGTATAATCAAAGAAGAAGTGGCTCTGAATTCTCATTTTTGCATGCAAGTATGAGATTTAAAACAAGACTTCTAAAATGAACTTAAAGGGTTAGGGAACATTTGGCTTTTGAATTTATAATTTCAATATATTGAATTAATTAAAGTTCAATGATTAGAGAAGTCCTTTCAGTGCACAAATTTTCCCTCAGATATTTAAAAAAGCTCAGATAACATGAGTAAGCATGCAATAAATGGTAGGTATAATTAATGGTAACTCCTGCTTGCCCTTCTATTCCTTTGAATTCTCACAGTGAAGCTTCCACGGCTGTGTGTCAGTTCTGGAGTTCCTGAGAGTCCCGTTAGCTGAAGGTAAGGAGTATTCCAAAACCAAAACAACACTTCTTTTGAGTCAATTTTATTACTATTATATTTCACACAGAGGAGACTTAGTTACATAAAGTGATATTCTATGAGTTGATTACCAGTAGTAGAAGCACAAAGCTGTGGAAATTGTAACATGAACACAATAAACTCCCTTTATCAGAGTGAAGTCCATGTGACAGAAACACGTTATTCCAAACAGCCTTTGTACAAATAAATATAGCATTCAGTCTATGTACAGACATATTCACAGAGAATAAACTGATGCAAACTTTCCATACATCTTGTTGTCCAGTGAAAACTGCTCATAATAAACAAAACACACATAAAATGACAAAAATAATTTGGGATTGCATCAGCTGGATTCTTGTAGGGATAAAGATAGGGGCTCAAATCTTCATGAAAATGGAGACAAACTAGGGAAGCATAAGATGACATCTATCCCTAAAAAGATCCTTTACAAAAATGGCATTCTGATATTTTTAATGTAACTTGTCCAAAAAACAGTTGATGTGTTCTAGGGAAAATGTCTATGTTGGGGTCAATGTTGACATGTCTGTTTTAAAAACGTGCAAAGAAAAAAAAGTATAATTTATCTTTTTTTTAGTGCTAGCAGCAACTTTAGGATACCAGGAAGGCAGCTTTTGCTTTTATTTTCAATGGCTCTTTGAGGATGCAGATCGCTTGGAGTTGGAAGCTGTTGCTTCTGGAGTTTTTCAAATTCAAGCTAGAAACACCCAGGTTAGCTGCAGGGCAGAAGTATAGACCTGTACACAGGGTTCGATAGGGCAACATGCCAACAGAGGCTCCCACTTTTGGAGGGAGAGCCTCCACCCTGTGGAGAAACTCTTCAGGCCATAAAACAGCCCAAACAAGAAGATCACTGGCTCTGGGTGCAGGCCTCTTTCTTTAGGGCAAATGGCCATTTATGCAGAAAACCGATGGGGTCATCCAATTTAATATATATATTTATTCTATACCAGTAATATAGTTACCTAGTGGCAGTAAATATTTCTAGGCTATTAACTGGATTTTAGTCATTCTTTTAACTTTCACTCAAATTAAGTGAACAGTTGTGATAAAGTGAGACACCAGAGTTTTCAGTTGCGGGTACCTCTATGTTTACTTGTAAATCTATCATACTAGCTCAGAAATCGTGTATTTTAGCAGAAAGGGAAAAAACCCCAATGCATTATGAAGTCTGCAGTTTTATATGCTCTCGCATGGAAAGTTTAGGCATAAAACATTGATAAATTGTGGTCTCTCTTTGCCATTTTTATAAGGGAACTTCTTAGACCCATCCCATATTTATATAAAAACTGAAACAAGCCTTAAATTTCTCAGGTATATATTTGCTAATTACCCATTTCACTCTCCATGTGGGTAGACCTTACTTTACATAACGAATGGGTTCCTGAAAAGTAGTACATCTATAATTTTAAAAAAGGAAGATTTTCAATATAGTATGAGAACTTGCTATTTAAAAGATCTGTGTAACAAGCTATTTTGAAAATGAAGAATGCTTCTGTGAAATAAATAATTTCTTTGATTTTCAGAGTTCTGTTAAAGTACACATCTAAAATTTATGTAGATTAGGATTGTCTAGGACAATAATTTAATGCAATAAAAAATAGAAGAGATAAACTCCAATTTTACAACAAACAATACAAAACAGGAATGACTCATGGACTACTTATTAACTGACTATATTCAGAAGCCCTGAATATATGCATTATTGGTATTTTATGGCTTTAATTAAGACAATTGTCTGTTATGAAGTACTATAAAGTGCAATATTAAAATTAAAAAACCCAAAAGGCATCCATTGTCCTTCGGTTTTATCCTGATGAGAAGAATTGAAAACTTGTTTAATTAAATGGCAAGGAATTATCTATTCTTAATTCACGCATATAATTTCATCCTTAAAGCAACTTGATTCAGGGATTCAGACTTCATTCATTCTTTTTGTATGTGTGACATGATTTTAAAAATATTCTCTTTTGATTAGTTGAGTGTTTTAGAACACTGTCAGTCCCAAGGCCTTAGTAACTTACAGACAGGTTCCTTAATAAAGGAATATGCAATGCAGTGTGAGAGAATGCAGGAGCAAATTCCCACCCTTTTGGTGAGCTATAGCCCACTTGCCTGGGCCAGGACATCAACCCACAAAGTTTCAATTTCCATCCAGCCTGTCACACAAGGAAGTAAACACACTGCAATATTGGGTGATAAGAGGACGTCCAACCATTTCCCCTGTTTCCTATTTAAAGAAAAATACAAATTCCCTTTGGTAAATCAAGGCAGGTGAGTGCAGGTCCAGAGTTTCTGAATGATCTCCAGGGGTGCCTCCCCCTTTCTGAGTTCTTTGTGAGCTTGATCTCTCCAGCTCACCACTTATGATAATGCTGCACTTAGTGTTCATACTTTTCACCCGAGGATAAATGCCTGTTGGTGTACTTAGGGTATTTCTGCTACTCTGCTGTCTTGTGACTGTGAATTCTGTTCAGTTTATTAGCAGTTAGGAAGGATGCTCCCACCCCCAAGAAGCAGTCAATTGTACAAAACATAAGATGCCTGGGGCAGTAGTCTAGCGTTTTTAAATATTCACATTCATGAGACGGAGAAATGTTCATTAAACTGGCGAAGTGCAAGTAAACAGGGGATGTTGGTGGTGACAACCTTGAAGGGGAGTAAGCACTGGGTCCATCCTGAACTTGAAAACTGGACATGGCGTTAGAAATAAGCAGGCTGAGATTTTATAAGGCCAAGCGGCTTATAGTTGGTAAGACACCCATTCAAATGGCATTGGGGCAAACTGAGAAATGTACTGGCTTCATCCAGATGTGTTAGAAGAATGATAAAGAGTCATAGGGAGCATGAGATTAGCATGAATTAGCAATGAAGTATGACTCCCTAAAAGGTAAGAGCTACAGAGGGGACCACAAAAAGGGAGCAAAGTGTTAGGTTTGAGGCTTTAGTTCATCTGTGTTCAGGATGTTATACTTGTGTCATGATTAGCCATAGGGTTCCATAATTTAAGAGCAACATAAAGTATTTTTCTTTTAAAAAATTATTTATTTATTTTTAGAAAGAGAGGAGGTGAGGGAGAAGGAGAGGGAGAGAAACATCGATTGCACACCCCCAACAGGGGACCTGGCCTGCCACCCAGGCATGTGCCCTGACTGGGAATCAAACTGGAAACCTTTCAGTTCACAGGCCAGCGTGCAATCCACTGAGCCACACCAGCCAAGGCACAACATAAGCATTTAAAAAGGCTTAGTAGACATCTGTAAAAATTATTAAGAAGGTCAGGAAAAATGACACAGAAGTAAACGTCTAAAGATACTTTTGCTGAAAATAAGGAGTCACAAAGTGGTAACTCCTAACTATGTCAGGGTAAATAGAAAAGAGTGCCCAGATGCACTTCTTTTCTGCCAAAGAGAAAAAAATAGGCTAAGTCATCAATGTGAAGGGCTTGGCTTCACCTAGAAGGAGACTTTTCTGATACTGATGGTTGTTAATGTTGGTAGTCGACGGGCTAGGCTTCAGCAGGGACAGCTATGCTAGGACTCCTTTCCCACAAAAGGGCTCTCCTTTAGATTAGGGCTATCCATTGGACAGACTCTTTGAACAGAAGCAAACCTTTAGCAAGTTCCATGCAAATCTCATGACCCTCCATTAGACTTAGATATTTATCTGTTTTTTAAAAAATTATTTATAGGGCTCCAGTCTGTTCATCAATCATTTAGTGAAAGTACTTCAGCTCAGATAATTTGATGCTGCACAGTCTCTCACCCATTTGAACATAGTTGTCTATCCAGTCATAATGACAGGGTCATTTTTGTCTCTAAAAAACCGGCTGGCTTGTGGATTGGTTTGTGCTGCATAGCTCTTTGTCTCTCTTTTGAAAGAAAATTGTCGCTAGTCAGGTCAAAGGCTGCTGAAATTCAGGTGGTTCTGAGCAAGGCTGATCCTCTGTGTGTAGGAAGGCATATAAAATGACAGCACACAGATTAAGGGTGGCCTCAGTGGAAAGCACGCATTACTTCCATAGCAAACACGGGTTTGCCTATGATTTCTACAGATGTCCAAATTCTCCATTCGCCGCATGGCAAAGTGAAAGAAATACCGTGATGATGTAATACTAAACAATGAAGGTTAGCTGGCTATGAGTGTGCTCTTTATTGCTTTTCTTGTCTGCTATACATTTCAAATAATGTGAAGCTATGAGATTGAAAAAGAAACACAACAATCCAGAGGCAAGAAGCTAAAGCTAAATAGACAGTGAACCAGGGGCATATTACCTATCTTTCCCAAGGCCTTCTTGAAAAGGGAAACATTTTTTTATCTGGGACATAGATCTATATAGGCTCTCTTCTAATTGGTTAAAAAAAAAGCATGACTTTTGTAATTATTTTAAACTACATAGGGATATATATCAATGTGACACTTGCTTTCTTGGGAACCCCAGTAAAAGTAAATTAATTTCTCCTTTCTTTCCTTTCCTTATTCTTTCTCCCACCCTCTACGAACTCTCTCTTAATGACAAGCCCTAATTGAAGACAATATTGCTGAGGCAGCTATTAGAGTTGAGAGTGTGTCTCTTAAAAATATCAAGCGAGGTGGTAATGGGAGATCTGGCTTAGCAAGAATGAGCATTAGCTCCTTCAATGAGCTTTCAGGAGATAGTTGATTTCTCTGGAAATCACCCTGAGAATATTTTCCCTTTATTTTTTTTTGGAACAGAGATGCCTCATATAATATGGCCACTTAATTCATAGAGTAAAAAGCAGTCCAGGGGCAAGGAAGTATGGCATCCTCATAATCTTGTGTGTGTGTGTGTGTGTGTGTGTGTGTGTGTGTGTGTGTGTGTTCATAGATGCAAGGAATAAAGCATACTAAAGTTTTTTGAAATGCTTGTATTCATATAGGTCATCAGACCCATGTCAGATATTCCAAGGCAGTAATTCCAGCAGAACACTCAACAGAAGTCCTATCTCCTCCAACTGTCTGCCTGACCAACAGGTCTATCTCTTGTCGTTCCTGTGGTCAGCTTTCTCTTAAGGTGCTGTGGGAGGCGGGCTCCGCTACAGAGCTCATCTCCTATCTCACTATTACGGAAGAGACAATTTAAGAGCTGTGAGCAATGGTCGATAGTTTGCCAACTCTCTCGCTGCCCAGGAATGGATGTACATTAATATTATCAAACGTCTCATCAGCGAGGCAGCTGTGTTTTGCTGAAAAGGCTCAAAACCACCTGATTCATGTCTTCCCTAGAAAGTAAATAATAATGGCCCTTGTCAGGTGACACCTGTTAGAAGTCTTACAAAGCATTTTTTTTCTGAATATGAAACAGTCCCTGACTCTTTTATAATCTTCTGAAAAGGCTTTAGGATATTCTTCTGCATCTGCCAAATTGATAAACAACCCTGCCTCTTATTCCCTGCACAGGTACCATGCTCTGCTGATCTGTCCTGCTTGGCTTGGCTTATGTACAGCCTGGGAGGCTGCATAAACACCTTTAATCTGCAGCTCCAGTTCTTCAGGAACTAGGCAGGCTCAGAGGGCAGCTGGACTCAGCACGGGCATTCCCGGATGCAACTGAGAAGGTTCTGTTTGGGCATTCCCCTGTTCTGAGGCTGCCCAGGGTGGCAGGGAAGGTGACAGCAAGCAAGACCTGCTTGGTTTGCTGTGGGTAAATGGAACCAATTGGGTGCAGCTAATTTATTTTAGAGTGAGCAGTAAGAAGGTGGCTCTTGAATTTTTGATAATATTTTATACCCTGCTCCAGGGAAGTAAAGAGAGTATCTGCGGTCCAAATTTTTCTCCCTATACTTTTCTGTTGTGTATTTTTTGCCTCTCCAGCATTAGGGCTATGGCTGACCATTTCTGTAAGGCTGTAAATCTATATTCAAGGGGTGGGAAAATATATGGGGTGGGTACATATGTATCTTGGTAAGCACATATGCACAGAACAAACCCTATGAGGCCAGGGAGAAATGTCCCCTTTGGTTGTTGGTGAGCACAACTCCTTTTCCTTCACTGTGGCAAACTTGATGCTTCCTGCTTCTGAATCCTGAATGTGATTGGGTCAGAGGGTGATGATTTAGGTGATTTTGTGTATGTACATGTAGATCTGGTATAAAGCTATATATTTATATATGTATAAACACAGGCATGCAGAAAGGGCATTAGAGGTGACCTGCTTAGGAAAGAAACTATGATGTGGAAAATCTTTTCTTATGTTAATGATCTTAATGCCTTTAAAGATCTACTGCTGTGTCCCAGGCACTTCTCTCCAGATTTATCCTAGCCGAGCACAGAACCTCACAGGCACATAATGAGGGGAAAGGCAGGGCACACAGTGGCCGGGAGAAGGTGCCTGCATACCAGCCCGCGGGGGACACTGCAGTCGTATGTCATGCTCAGTGCGCATCATTGACATGGGAACTGGGCCTTGAAGTATTGCTTTCTCAAGTACAGATTTTCATTAATGACCACAGCAGTCCCTATGCATGGGGCTCCCAGGCCAGGAAATAGGCTCCATGGCTGCTTGGATGAGTGTTGGCTGTGATCTGGGAATTAATACAAAGAAGTGAGGAGGCAGGGGGCGTATCAGGAAGTGCTGGAGGAAGAATAGGGCTGCACTCAACCTCCCTTGTCCTTTCTGGTTTTATACAGTCTGTCTGTAGTGGAGTCCAAGTCATCTCTTCAAACCTTCTTTCAAATAACAAACCAGTCAGTAATACATATTCATGTAATAACCAACTCTGCTTCCCTTCAAGTCATGCACAGGGAAAACAAGCAGAGTTTTTAATTAAAAGTTCACTTACTCATTCTCTTTCAGTCAAAGGAACTGGCACACATTCTTGCCTCAATACAAAATTTGCCCTGTCTGAATGAGACTCTGGTTTCTCCCACACAACTGAAAACCAGTCTTTGCAAAGTTGGAGAGACTTGCTTGCAAGCCAGTCTCCTGGTGGTGCCACTTTGACTTCCTGCCTCCCCAGTGGGCCTCCCCTTAAAAGTGCTTTTTTGCTTGTGGGTGAAGAGCAGTGATGGGCACTGACTATTACTGTCATGCTCTGCGGGGTGAGTTGAGGTTTTGTGGAACAAGTACTGAGCTTGATCTGGGGCTGTCAGGTGTCCCTTCCTCTTTTTTTCAGCTGTGAGTTCTGCATCCTTTCGCCCTGTTAGGAGGTATGTGCTCACAACAGTCATAGAAGCATCAGTGACACAACATACCAGAGACAGGAATGCATACAGTATAGCTCCTCATACATGGTGTGTGCCAACTTTGTAGGACGAGCACCAAACAATGAGCCATCCTCTACTTTTTCAACTAATTTTAGGGAAAGTATAACTTGGGGAAATAAAAGACTATGAATTTTTCATCAATTTAGTTTGCCTGTTTTTCTCCCCTGCTGGTTTTATTTTCTATTCACATAGATCGAAGAAATCTAAAGGTGTCAGTCAAACAGAACTTGGGGGCACTGAATGAATGGAATGGAAATATCCGATGACGGCTGAACAAAGTCAGAAAATCAAAACCTTGGAGTGACTGGCTCGAAGCTAACGTAAAGAAGCTGTTGAGTATAGTTTCCAGTGTACTTTGTAAGCTAGAAAGAGTCCCAGATGGGGTCCTGATTGCAGGAGAGATATGGCTGTTGCATGAACTTTAGCTACATCCTGGTCTTGGCATCACTAGACATAGGATTCAGAAAACTTCCTGTTGTGCAAATGCCTTTCCAAACATCTCTAGGCTGCCTCAGCCCACGCAGTATTGATTGGAGTCAGTTAAGTTCTATTTAAGGAATAATGATTTCTTCAGACACTGCAGCCCTTTATGACCCCACTGGAGGGTGCTTTAAAGAACTATGCCCTTACATTCCCTTTGGGTGGCAAGTCTCACTAAGCGCTTCTACTAGATGGAATTTCTTGTTATATATCCAGGCTCTTTTGACAGCATATTGATCATATGTGAGCCCTTAGCATCGAAATACATCTAAATGACAATCACAGCTAATCTTGCCTCCCTTCTTTTGATGATAATGAGACATGCATTGGCACAATATAGGTTCAGTTTACATAGTCTCGCTGTCCTAGAAGAGTGCTAATTTGGTTTGCAATAATAGTTTCTACTTGCATGCTGGGGCGATATATATATTCATAAAAACCCCAAATAAACCCAACCCTGGTTACTTCCCTTTGCCCCCGACCAGTATTGACCCAGTCGGGGTTTTACCTCTGTCTACCCCAAGTAACCCTGTGGGGTTTGGTGAGTGTACTCCAGTGGGGATGGGCAGAGAGTCTTCCCTGTGTGGAAATGTTTTGGAGGGCTCAGCTCAGGGCCCTACAGCCCCTCTCCACCCAGCCCTCTCTCCTGAACCCTGTTTCCTTCCCTAAAACATCCACCTTACCAAGCAGGATCCCAGTAAGTCCAAGGTAGGCTGAAGGTCACAGCAATGATTTCATTAGTTTACCTCTTGCACTTAAGGGGTAAAGCTCAGGCAGAAGGTTGATGCCCTTCTTCAAATAGGTATTATAAATATACTAGAGCTATCCCTGAAAAGATGCATTCGTATTTATATATATATATATAATTTTAAATATATAATGTTTCTTTCTTTGTATTTGTATACAGGTCTGTATTACTCTATAGACGTGGAAGGAGGGGTATAGTACAGGAACAGGCAGGACATGTTCATGTGCATCTATTTATATTATGTATATTTTATATGTATATACACAGCCTCTGTCATCGTTTGCATCATTACAACAAATGTACCTCCGACCAGCGAGGAGTACCTGTCAACGGTGAGTGGAGAGAAGCCTCAGATGGACAGTCCCCTGTCTCTTGCGTGAAGCCATGTCACTAGGCCAGATGGACGTAGCATGTGAAGTGAGCATGTCCATTGGGAGTCCACCCCTCCTCATGTCTGCCAAGGAGGGACACTGCATGCCTGGCGCTGTGTGCCAGCTGCCTCTCTTCCAGATGTCAAAGAGTATAGAGCCCAGAGTGGGGAGGAACCATCAAGATATGGCTTTTTGTGCTAGATGGAGACCGGGCACACAAGAATTCTATCTTCCAGGAGGACGCTGATCACAAGGAACACGAAGTAGAGGCCAAACATGATGAAGCCCAGCACTTTGTTCATCCGCCATCTGCAGAGGGCGATGGAGAGGATGACGAAGAGCAGCATGATGAAGAGGAGGACAATGGCGCAGAAGAGGCCGTTGCTGCTGACGGCCACAGGCTGGAACCTGTGAATGGTGGTGTACAGGAGCCAGGGCAGTGGGAGCCTGTGAAGGAGAGAACAGGGTTGGCAGGGAGCGCGCAGGCATGTTGACGGAGGCCTGTGACAAAACGTTAGCTTCTTGGAATCTATAATCGGAAAGGGGTATCTTCTTTGGCTTACTCTGCCTTGGGCATGTCTGGCCCAAGAAATCACATAAGAAAGGCAGGTGAACTTTAAAAACCTTTATCTGTTCCTGACCAAATTAGACAGAATGGAGAGAAATTTGTTCTACAGTTGAATAAAATAAAAAATACGACCGTGGCAGGTGATTTCTGAATTAGATTTGAAATAATTTTTGTTTCTTTCCCTGTTGAGATGAAAATATGATTCTTAAACCTAAAGAGGTAAACTGGGGGATTTGGGTGAGAGGAGGAGAAGACAAATGGAGAAAAGATATAGAAGTCAGCAGTGAAAGGGCAAAATTATTTTTTTTAAATGGAGAGAGAGAATAGCAACGACTTAATTAACAACCTAAAAAGCAAGTGAAAATAAATGATGATGGTGGGGACCAATACAATATAGCTGCCTGGAGTTTATGTTGGAAAAGATGTGACAACGTTTTCACTAAAAAATGACGTTTCTGAAAGGAAGAGGGAGTCTGATATTTGTGATGTGATTTTAAAAAGCTTTATTATGCTTTCTTATTCCTGTTCTCTCTCTTTGCATTTGACTCTTAAAATGTGATAACATCTTTTGTTTCCTAACCAGAATGGTGACTGTGAAAGACATCAGAAAGGAGCCTGGTACACCAGGAGAGCGGGCAAGGACTCCGTGGGAGAGCTTCCTGCCTGACAATGCAAGACTCAGCGGTGTATGCCTCCCCGCAGGGCGGAGTGAGAAGCAGTCACGTTCTACCCATTGAGCCTAACAATGGAATGCTGTTTAGGGAAACAGGAACCCAGCTACTCAGGGGGTTCATGTTCTGCACAGCCTAAGGCTAAAGGAGATTCATTTTTGGCCTAGCCTCAGTGGTGTGGAAGAGGAAGTGCCCTTTTCAAACACAAAGTTGTCCAAAGGAAAAGCAGATAGCTTGAGAGAAGTTATGAAGTGAAAGGGGCAGTGAGTTTATACACCCGTCTCCTCTGCTGGAGGGAGTGTGCGTGTGAAGGTAGAGCCCATGTGTTATATATCTTAGAAATCCCAGGGCTGGGCACATGCAGGCCCCCACCCAGGTTATCCTGGGCCACGCTGGAGTGATTGATGAGACTGCCCCATGGTGATCACTTACAGGCACTTTGCCCACTATAGCCTGGCTAGGATGCGCCTACCACGGGGGAGATGTCAGGAGGGGAGGGATCCACAGGGCCATCACAGGAAATAAGGTGCAATTCCAGCTCTCGGCAGGAAGGGGCAGTGCTGGCACAGTATGGCCCCAATGGAAAGACAAGAAAGGGGAGGGTAGTGTCTGGTGGTGATGATACAAAAACCTCTCCTGGGACTTGTTTGGGGGAACTCTTCTTCTATACTTCCCATGGGCTGTTAAGCTAGACACACACACACACACACACACACACACACACACACGCACGCACACACACACACACACGCACGCACACCAGCACTGCAAATAGGTAAAAATCCTTTAGGGGGAAAACGACATTTTTCATACTTTAACCTATCAGTTCTACTGTCAGGGACTGAATATAATGAATAATTCAAAATGCAGATACAACCTTACCCAGGAAAATAATCATTTCAGTGATATTTTGAGTAGTGAAAAATTTGGTATACTTTAAACTTTAATAAAGGGAATTTGTTAGATAGCAAAATATTTAGTTGACATAATTGATGTAGTTATTAAAAGTAATAAACTATGAAGATGCAGGCAAATACTTATGATATAATTCTATATTTAAAATGAAGAATACATATAAAAATAGCAATGTATTTTTAATAATGTGAAATACATACACATTTAAAAAGGGTGATGGATTATCACTGATTTTTATTTATGCTTTATATGTATTGTCTGAATCCTTTACTGTGAGTATGTATTAATCTTACACAAAAGAAAATGCAGGCAAGACCATATAGGAACTTTTACACTCAAAACATTGCCAACGACTTTGTAAACTGTTATAAACTCTTCGGATAGAGCTTTTGGAAAAATATACATCAATGGCCATTAAAATGCTCATAATCTTTAATTAATTAATATTGCTTGAAAAAATTTATCCTAATTAACATAATTAGAAGAGGAGGTTTTTCTGTGTAAAACTATTCATAGACACACTTACAAGAGTAGAAAATTGGAAAAGATAAAAAGATCTTACTAAAGGATAATGGTTAAATGAAAAAACAACAGGATGGAATATTTTAAAGCCATACAATGTTAATTATGAGAGCTATGAAGAAGCTTAGAATAATGGTTGATTTACTAATTTACTAATAGATGCCTACTCCATCCCAAGCATAAATGCCTTTAAAATGGAAAAATAAAAGCCCTCCAAGAGGTCAAAAGTGAATATTCCCTAAGAAAACTTTGTGAAATATTTGGAAGAAAACATACAAAAGCTAAATGTTGTTTTAGTGTAGTAGAACTAGGGGTTACTTTTCTTTACACTCTCATTTGTTAGAAATATACAATTTAAGAACAATGAACATAAAGCATCTTGCAATTTCCTAGAATATTTATTTTTCAAAAACATAACAAATATGACTTAGAACATTTGTAATTTTTCTCAATCTTTAGGATTTTCTCTTTTATACTATAGAACATTTTGTTTTCCTTGTTGCAGGAGAGTGATCAAGAAAACCAGTCTAATTGTGTAGGCAGTAGAACTGAGGAACACTGTTTATATTAGGGATACCCTTCCTTTAAAACATACTCCTTTCAAGATGTCCATCCATCCACCCATCATCCATTCTATAACCATCTGTCAAGCTATTATTATACATTAGGCAATGTATTAGGTTTTGGTAATTTCTTGCTCTTGGGGAGTTCACAGTGTAGCAAGCAGACTGATGTACATGATCATGGCAAGAGCTGGTACGCAGAAAGTATCCAGAAGCAAAAGCTCCCAGGTCAGGCCCAAGAGAATCAAAGAAGCCTTCATTTTAGTTGACATTGGAAGGGTAAGTTGGAGTTTTACAGGCAGGAAGGACTCTTGAGTGACAGGGCCCGCGAAGAAAGGAAGTGTGGTAGGAGAGGGCACCTTTGAAACTTAAAGGTGGTTCAGAGAATGAAAACTCAAAGCAGGATGTTATGGCCAGGCAGTGCTATAGTTCAGAGCACAGACTTTGTTCAAATCCCAGCTACCTCTTTCACTAGTTGTGTGAACTCTGTGCCCTTCAGTTTCCTTATCTGAAAAACAGAGATGATACAATACCCTACAGATCTCTGTGTGGTTTAAAGGGATATAAATGTAAGTACAATGCACATGGTAGACACTGAATGAAAAAAATATTATCTCATATATTAGGTAATGGAAGGGTATAAGAGAGAAAAATATTGAACAAGTTCAATGAGAGCGTAGATCAATTTTAGTGAGTTTCCAAATTCAAGTGTCGAGAGCCCAGTTCTGAGAATACAGGATAACATCCTATGTTTTACTTTCTCAGGTTATTTATCAGACTAATTTTACTTTCGACAAGTTAGAGGAAATAGAAGTAACAGCGCCCTTCCCCATCTTTAGAGATTATTCACATTGAGAACTCCAGTTTACTTAACTGTAAGAACAGATCTTGTCTTCTGACTTTCAGAAAAACTAGAATATCTTCACCAGCACAGATAAACAAATGATAATGCAAACCAACAAGCATTTTCCAAGGAAGGAGTTGAAATATTTTGCTGGGCTTATGTTTGTTCTAATCTGCTTTATTTACAATCTAAATCTCACCTGAGGCTGGTTAGGGACTTTATTTAGAGTTAGAATATGAAGAAATATACAGTGAATCTACCAGATCATCTCAGTATGCCTGAATATTGAATAATCATAACACATAGCCAATGCAATTATATAAGTGAAATTCTCTTAAAGTACTTCCTACAACATCCACTCTGTTTGCAGGAATGTGTTTCTGCCTGTCCAGGGATAACTTATTCTTCGTCAGGTTCTCCGAAAATGAAAAATGGACTTGGTGAAATTGAATGGTACCCCCGGTCTTTACTTTCTACTGATGTTGGTTAGTTTTGGGCTCAGAGACCTTGGTTATGTCTTCACAGATTCAAAGACAGTCATGAAGTCGGTGTGTACCTTTATAAAACTATCTCTACTTACCCTACGGTGATGTCAAAAATATTGCTTCCAACAGAGCTGGATACAGCCATGTCCCCAAGCCCCTTCCGGGCCACTATGACACTGGTGATGAGATCAGGAATGGAGGTCCCAGCAGCCAAGATGGTCAGACCCATAATCTCCTCACTAATGCCAATTGTCTCTCCAACCTAAAAGCGATGACAAGGACAAATATATGAGTGTTTGTAGTCAAGAAACCATCAAAACCACAACCTTTTTTTAATGATTTCCTACCCTGGGTTGAGCTGAGTGCTGAAATGAGCCACAGCCATTGCCATAGAGTTGAGGACACTTAGACCCAAGAGATTGGGAATCTCATAAGGGTGAAACAGAAAAATCTCAAGAAAGAGCTATAGAGGGCTAGAGGACAGCCTCTATATGGGGTTTACTAAGACTGGGCAGGGGAAGCAGAAAATTAGTTATAAAAACCAAGTGGGCTCTGGCCAGGTAGTTCAGTTGGTTAGAGTGTCGTTTTGATACACTAAGGTTGTGAGTTTCATCCTCAGTCAGGGCAAATACAAGAATCAACCAATGACTTCATAAATAAGTGAAACACAAATCGAGTTTCTCTCTCTCTCTCTCCCCACCCCCTTTTTCTCTCTAAAATTAATAATAATAATAATAATAATAATAGTAATAGTAATAAATCCCAATTGGTCAGAGGCTTCAGGAGCCAGTGCCTGACAATGGCATCAAATCCTGTGGCTGATGCTCTTGGATTTACCAGAGAAGGTGAACAAGTTACACACAGCATCCCCATTTTTCCTGAACATATCCTAAGTGTCTGTAACTTTCTCTTATATGCTTAAGACTACCATTTCCATAGGAGACTTGATCTGGGGTGATTTTGTTGTCATAATACAGAACTGCAAATCCGCAAGGCAGCAGTGAGGAAACCATCATTTAGTCAATCAGAGGACTTCGGTCCAAGGTGTGGCTCTGGCATTTATCAAGTACTTGATCTATTGCTAACTGAACACATTGTGCAATGTATTTGTTCCTCACTTTTTTTTTTATCTATAAAGTGGCATTGATCATACCTACCTTCACAGTAGTTGTGAGGACTAAGTGATAATTTGTGAAAAAACCTTCAGTAAATGGTACACATTATAAAAAGGCAAAGGGGATATCATATTTTCTTTTGGTTTTTGCTTTTTAACATGGATGAATTCTACAGGCACAGCTGGTCTAGCCTCAGATGAAAGCTCTTCCGTTCTCTGGAGCAACTTGTCTTCTTCAGACTTTGAAAAGCTTTATATAGTTTCTGGAGTTGGTGAACTGGAAACCTTTAAGATAATGCTTTCAATTTGGTTTCCAACAGCCTAACTGATGATGTCCAGCAATTTTGAAAAAAATTTAAAGGGCAGAAGTAGCATGTAAGGATAAAGGTTTTCAGGGCATAAAATAAACTCATTTCTAAATCTTTTTTTTAAAAAAAATTGTAAGTGATAGCTTAGTTCTCACTAGCTTAAAAGCACAGTTGGGAGCTATTTTTATTTTTATGGTCATGCTGCTCTAGAGCCTGGTGAGCTGGGTTACCCTGTCCTCAGGGTGCCCAGATTCACGGCTCCCCGTTAGAGAGTAAGTTCCATTCAAGCAGGATTGTTACCCTTGTTCACTGTGGTTTTCCTATTACTCAGAACATAGCCTGGCACATAGCAGGCATTCAATACCTATTTGCTGAATAAATAAATTAGTCTGCATATGGAGATGATTTTACTGGTATATTTTTCACTGATTCTGATAGAAAAACTTAAATAAAAGTTTTGCACAGGAATACCCTACTTGAACAAAGTATTCTCCTTCAGGACTTCTCTGTTTTTTTAGATTTGTAGTGAAACATTTTCAAAGACTGTAAAGACGCTAACTCAACGATCGTCAGCCTCAATAAGTTCCAATCTAATACATTCATAGTAATTTAAATTCTTAGAGGGAGTTCTAAAGCTGTGACTGTTTCAAAAACCATCTATGTTTGAATGCCACTAAAACAGGAAAATGCAGCAATTAAAGAGGGGTGGTAGAGTGGGTGTGGTTAAGAGCACTGGCTTGGGATCTGGAGAACCCTGCGATCAAATCCTAGCCTGTCAGTCCTAGTGGAAGGTAGGCAGCTTCCCTGAGGCTCAATTTTTCCCATCTGTGAAATGGGGCTAATAATATGTTGTGATAACTATGTGTGATGATGCTTATAAAGCAAAGAGCACATCATCAGACATAAAGTAAAGGTTCAGTAAGTATGAGCTCTGAAAACTCCTCTGATATTATTCCTTTCCCTCTTTAACTTAGTGCACAGCCAGCCATCGGGGTCTGGCGGCAGAGACAGAAGCTGGTTTAGTGGGGTCAGTCCACAATGTAGGAAATCATCTGAACAGTGAAGAATTTTCATTGTACATCAAACTCCTGATGGATCTGTGTGTCTCTAAAAACACTTTCCGTGAAGGAGAACGTCCACGTAAGCTCACTGAAGGTGACCGCTGAATTAGAGGCAAGGCGATGATGGGTGATTGGATGGGGCAGCATCCAGGATCGCTTTGGGGAGCCTCAGAGGAGGTTAGTGCTAGAAAGGACATCGGTAGTCTCTTGGGGGAGAATTTCCTTGATTTCTAAGAGAAGTAATAATAGAACCACTCAGAATCCAAAACCAGTGCTGTTCCTAATATTCTTTGATGCAGTTTCCTGCCTTGGTTTAGGGAGGATTTTCAAAAATGTCATATTGACTAAGTGAGACACAGAGTCCTATTTGACTTTTAGAATTAAATTCTCATTACTAGTTGCAGGATAGATTTTAACCATAGGTTTCATCACACATGAAATTTACTAGGATAAAGACTGATGATATAAAAATTGCATTAAAATAACAAAAGCAAAGGAAAAACATGCAGAAAGCATTGTATGTGTAGGGCACTTATTTTTGGCCTAATAGTAGCCAAATAATTGTATCAAATAGCACTTATTATTGCTAAAACTGTGGATACAAAAATAGTTGAACACTAAATGGTGTACTTGCTATCTTTATAGCTTTTATAGTTCAAAAGCACAAATGACAGAATTAGAGCTAGACTTCTTAGAACAGAATCTGCTCTTTCAATCAGCTGTGTGGATGTTTTAAAAGAGAACATTTTTATAGGAGAAAAGAAAGAGACACTTCTCATCCATTATTGGAAAGCAAGGGTTCTCTTCATATTTCTGTGATTATGATTGTTCTTGGCATTTTATTTGTGTTTTTCTACAGAGAATAAAAAGGAAATAAGATGGTTGCATTAAGATAATCATTAAAAAGAGAAGGATGTATAATTATGTTTCCTAGGGTGGGTAAAGAGAAATAGCTATGAAACAACATATTCTAGCAAGAGGAAAAAAACCCCACTTTTTTCATTTTCAGTACATGAAAGAATAAAAATGATTTTTAGGAAAGGCCATTATATAAGTGGAAAAAAATCATTTTAGCCTAGAAATCTGAAGGCTGAGAAGCAGCCCACTTCCACAATAATTCTTGCCAGGTATTGGTAGCAAATGTCTCTCAATGAAAGTGGAAAATAATGCCTTTGGGGCAAAGAGAACTTCAGGGGACCAGTGATTTGGGGGAAATATCCAAGAAGAGTGATCTGAAGTTAAATGCCACTTCAGTAATAACATAAAATATCTTCTGGAAATAACTCTGGGTATATCAGCCAACATTTCCAGTGAATTTTGTTAGTGACTCCTTTTTTATTCCCAAGGAGAAATTCCATTCTCCTTAGTAGCTTCTTCCCATTTCCTTCTACTTCCCTAAACCAAGGCAATCATTAACCTACTTTCTGTCTCTATAGATTGCTTATTTTTTACATTTCATATAAATGGGATCATCAACATGTGATCTTTGGTGACTGGCTTTTTCTTTCACTTAACAAAATTTAGAGGTTCATTTACATTGCAGCATGTATCAATATTTCATATTTTTTTTTTACTGTGGAATAATATTCCATTATATAGATAGTTCACATTTTAATTACCCATTCATCAGTTGATGGACATTTGGGTTGTTTTCATTTTGGGGGGATTGTTTTATTATGAATAATGCTGCCATGAATATATATGTACAAATTTTTATGTAGATGTCCTCATTTCTCTTGGGTTTACATCAAGAGTGGAATCACTGGATCATATGGTAACTTGATGTCTAACATTTTGTGGAATTGTCAAAGTGTTTTTCCAGGTGACTGCACTATTTTATGTTCTTACCAGAAATATAAAAGGATCTTTTCCAACTCTTGTTTTGGCTATATTTTTTATTACATCCATCTTAGTGAGTGTGAAGTGGTATCTTATTGTGGTTTTGGTTTGCATTTCTCTAATGAAAAATGATATTGAGCATCTTCTCCTGTGCTTATTATCCATTTGCATATCATCTTTGGTAAAATATCTATTCAAATCTTTTTTCCATCTTCAATTACGATTGTTGTAGACACCTTCTTATTAATGAGCTTGAAGAGATTTTTCTATATTCTGGATACAGTGCTTTATCAGATATATGTGTATATATATAATTTGCAAATATTTTCTCTAAGTCTGTGGTTTGTTTTCTTATTTTTAAGTGTTTTTTGAAGAGCAAAGTTTTAATTTTGATGAAGTCTAATTAATCAAAAAAATTTTTTTATGGATTATGTTTGGGCATTATATCATAGGACTCTTCCTAACAAATGATTATACAGATTTTCTATGATTTCTTCTAAACGTTTGATAGTTTTATCTCTTACATTTAGAACTGTGATATACTTTGAGTCAAGTTTTGAGTACAGTGTGAGGTAGAGGTTCTAATCTAAATTCATTCATTTTAGCATAGGGAAATCCAGTTATTCCAGCACTATTTGTTGAGATATCTTTCTATATATGTTCTTGGTGTATATTTCCTTATTTTAAATTGCTATATTTTACTTAAATTAAGGAGTATAATAATTTTAAGGTTATATAAAACAAAGGATACAAGTGGGCAGTTTTAAATTTAGATATTTTATAATTGAGATTAAAAGCATGACTTTTGGAGTTTCAAAGTCCTGGGTTAGAATCTCAGTTCTGCTATTTACTACCTGTATGATCCTAGGCAATTTTCTTATTAGCTGTAAGCTTAACTGTTTTATTTGTAAACTATGAATAATTATAGTACCTTCTCCACAGGATTCCTACCTATGTACAAATTGTCCAGGGCAATTGTCAAAGTTATAAGGATAAAGAGATGTGAGTTGCCTAGCACATAGTATCCGTCAATAAAGGTACCACTATTGTCTCTGAGAACATAAAACCTTTGTATCTCATTCTTTCATTTGTGTAACAAACAATTCCTGAGAGTTTATTCTTTTGACAGGCATTATGACTGGTATTGAGTTAAAATGGTAAAAGTGAAATATATCATCATTTTTACAAACTAAGACTCAAGGAAGAGACCCTTCGATCTTTAGGTCTTTTCCTAAGAGCCTATGGAACTACCTTATGACCCAGCAATTCCACGTCTGGAAATATATTCAAAGAAACCCAAAACACCAATTTGAAAGAATATATGACTGCTATGTTCACTGCAGCATTATTTACAATAACCAAGATCTGGAAGCAACCCAAATGTCCATCAGTAGACTATGGAATAAGCTGTGGTATATATACACGATGGGATATTAGCCATAAAAAAAGAATGAAATCTTGTTATTTGTGACAACATGGATAGACCTAGAAAGTATTATGCTAAGTGAAATTAGTTAGTCAGAGAAAGACAAATATCATATAATTTCACTTATATGTAGAATCTAAAGAACAATATAAACTAACAAAACAGAAACAGACTCATAAATAAAAAAAACAGACGGATGCCTGCCAGAGGGGAGAGGGGTTAGGGGACTGGGTGAAAAAGGTGAAGGGATTAAGAAGTACAAATTGATAGTTACAAAATAGTCACGGGGATATAAAAGTACAGCATAGGGAATACAGTCAATAATATTGTAATAACTATGTATGGTGCCAGGTGGGGACTGGAAATATAGGGGGAAATATTTTGTAAAATATATGATTGTCTATTATGGGGGAGACCCGGGTTAGGCTCTTGCTAACCATTATGCATATACCTGAAACTAATACAAAATAATACTAAATGCGAACTGTAATTGAAAAAAAAAACAAAGGAAAGCTGTTTAGAATGTGAATAGCTGCCCAAGAGAAATTAAGTGCCACTGAGTCAGGCAAAACCTCAACATTCCTCCCAGGCCTGAGCTGGCCTGGTTTCAGGCTGCAGAGGGCAAGAAGCAGTCAGGTTTGCCTGCCTTCCTTCACATGCCTGCCTGGGGCTATGCAGATTTGACTCCAGGCCAGGAGACAAGGGAAAGTTTGGTGGACAAATTCCTTTAGTCCTGAAATATTTAACTTGTCTCATCAGATGCAATACTGTGACAGTCTCAGAAAGCAAACATGTTGATTAACAATTTATAAGAGAAACAAAAGAAAAAATTAAGAAATGGGACTACATCAACTAAAAAGCTTTTGTGCAGCAAAGGGAACCATCAACAAAATGAAAAGACAACCCACTCTTATGGGAGAACATATTTGCTGATATATCTGATAGGGATTATTATCCAAATTTATAAGAAACTTAAAAAACTCAATACCAAAAACTCCCCCCCAAAAACAACTCCCCCACAAAAAACAAAAAAACCCCAATCAATCCAGTTAAATGGACAAAGGACCCTGAAGAGATACTTCTTCAAAGGGGACATACAGAGGGCCAATAGCTATATGAAAAGATGCTCAACATCCCTAGTCATCAGAGCAATGCAACTTAAAAAACCACAGTGAGATATTACCTCACACCTGTCAGAATAGCTATCATCAATAAATCAACAAACAACAGCCTTGGCTGCTGTGGCTCAGTGGATTGAGTGCTGGCCTGCAAACCAAAAGGTCGCTGGTTCCATTCTCAGTGAGGGCACATGCCTGGGTTGCGGGCCAGGGCCCCATTTGGGGGTGGGCAAGAGGCCACCAATCACTGTATCTCTCACATACTGATGTTTCTCTCCCTCTCTTTCTTCCTCCCTTCCATTCTCTCGAAAAATAAATAAAATCTACAAAACAAATAAACATCAAGAGTTGGCAAGAATGTGGAGAAAAGGGAACCCTTATGAACTCTTGGTAGGAACGCAGATTGGTGCAGCCACTGTGGAAAGCTATATGGAGTTACCTCAAAAAAAAAATGGATCTGCCTATGACCCAGTGATTCCACTTCTGGGAATATATCCAAAGAATTATTTAAGTCAGCCACAGAAAGACAAGTACCATATGATTTCATTTATATGTGGAATCTAGTGAACAAAATAAACTAACAAAGCAGAGACAGACTCATGAATACAGAGAACAGACTGACCACCATTAGAGGGTTGGGGGCTGGGTGAGAAGGGTAAAGTGCTTAACCAAAGAAAAAAAAGAAAGACTCATGGATACAGACAACAGTATGGTGATTGCCGGAGGGAAAGAGGGCGGGGGATGTAGAGGAGGGTAAAGGGGAGATAAATGGTGATGGGAAGAGACTTGACTTGGGGTGGTAAACACAAAATACAATATGCAGATGATGTATTGTAGAATTGTAATACCTGAAACTTACATAACTTTATTAACCAATGTCACCCCAATAAATTCAATAAAAAAATAAAAGAAAACAATTTAGCAACACTAGGTAGATAGTGTCACTATCAGTCTTACCTGGTGTGCCCACCAAACCATTAAGTAAGAGAATATTGCGATCCAGGTGATGGCGCCAAAGAACGTGATGGGAAAAAACTTCCTTGCTGACTGAAAGAGAACCAAGAAGAGCGGAGAGTGTCAGTGCTATAAGCTGAGGTGGATCTTGATAGTCCAAAGCTAAATCCACCAGTGCTGGCAGTCAAAAAGCCCTACCACCCCTGGGCAAGCTGGGACTGTAAGATTCTCTCTTGGGAATGTGGAATTGGTTTGAGCCAAGTTATTGCAAAGCTAGTGCCTGAGATGGAAAGCTCTGGAAGAGAATGTCTATTCCTGCTGCTGGGTGCTCAGATGCCCTTTCCAAGTCTTGGTTTCTCAGCCTTGCCTTCAATCTGTTAACTACTCCATGTCCTCCCTTCCTCTCCTGCTCCCTTTTTTTCTTCTGCTCAAGTTCATCAGAATCAGTTTTTATTACTTCAACCCATGTATCATAATAATTCATATGCCAGAAAACCTATGGGATTAGTTACTTTTTATAAGAAATGGGAAGACTAAAAAATAGATTAGCTTATCTTCCAGTCTCATAGGTGGTCAAGAAAAGCCACAGAGAAAAAGCCATCACCACAGTTTCTATAGATGCCTGGTGATGGCCAGTCCAGGACACCTGAACCACACATATAGACAGGAACAGATGGATGCCCAGCTATGTTGCTCTCCATGGGATGGCAGAGTAGATGCTCTTGGGGATGTTTTTTGTCCTGTTCTCCATGCCTAATTACAGTAATGCTTAATTCTGCCTCTACCACTGGACTTTGTGCAACCTCACACTTACAGTATGAACACTTAACAAGTTCCTTCAAATATCAACTGGAATTAGACACTCAAAATGCAATGTTTCTTACCTGATCCCACCCTAGGGAAATCCAGGCTTGTGCTAACATTAGTGGTTTTTTGTGGATGTTCTTTTTGCAAAATGTTTTCAGAGAGCCTATCATCTATTATTGCCAAACACTTTTTATTTCAAAGCTTTCCACTTTGAATGACAATCTTTTTTTTTTTTCTTTGATAATGCCATCCAATTCTGTCCAGAGAAATGAATCCTGGAATTGACTGGAATGAAAGCTACCTCAATTGTCTGAAGGGCTGACCTTGGGCAGTCAGGTAGAACACTTTTTGCCATGGCTTCTGAGAAATCCATTAAAGGGAAAAGATAAACTTGTACATGGTAATCTTTTGAATATCCATAAGGTGAACATAGTCTCTATCACTCCAAGCCAGGCTTATGTTCTCTTTACTAATTTCAACTTTTCAATATGTTTTCATTATCATTCCCACAGTTCTGCAAAATTTCACAATAATCATTTTTTCCTTTTAGTGATTGTTGCTTTTGGGAGGTTATTTGTTAGCTGGGCTATCTGAAAACCAGTGGGCTTGATAAAATTGGGGAGGCAGCAGGACCCAGCGAGTAGCCACAATGTTATTCGCAAATGCTTCCCCACATCTCTCCCCTGTCTTAGAAGGAACATATTTTGGCCAAATACTCAAACCCCTTCTGGGGATGTGGACAGTTTAACAAGTTAGTCATCATTTTTTCCAGAATGGGGGTGGAGACATTCACTTTTGAAAACAAATTCCCTTAAAGCTGGGAGTTTAGCTGGATTCTGGAGACTAGATTCCCTGAGCTTTGGAAATGCCAGTGCTAAGAAATCTAATTTTCCCAGCAAAGCATTTAGTAGATTACAGCCCTCTTCCTTTTCCTCTGGTCACAGGTCACAGTTCCAGTGTCCTAAGTGCAATGAAGGTGTTGTCTCCTCTGGCCATGCTCTGTCACAGGGAAGAGAAGGGCCCTTCTTGTGGTGCAGGGGCACACATACCATCGAACAGCAATCAGTGAGCTTGATTCTGAGCATCTTTTTTTTTTTAATTTTTAAAGTCCATTATTTATTTATTTATTTATATTTAGATACGTTTTTGTATTATAAAGGAATTTTAGCATTTATTTTTTAAAGTATATTTTATTGATTATGCTATTACAGTTGTCTAATTTTTTTCCTCCTCTTTATCCCCCTCTGCCCTGCACCCCCTCATCCTCCAGCATCCCCCGTCCCTTCCCTTAGTTCATGTCATTGGGTTGTACATGTAAGCTCTTTGGCTTCTCCATTTCCTATACTATTCTTAACCTCCCCTTGTCTATTTTGTACCTACCAGTTATGCTTCTCATTCCCTGTACCTTTTCCCCCATTATTCCCTTCCCCTCCCCATTGATAACCTTCCATGTGATCTCCATTTCTGTGATTCTGTTCCTGTTCTAGTCATTTGCTTAGTTTTTGTTTTTTAGGCTCAGCTGTTGATAGTTGTGAGTTTGTTGTCATTTTACTGTTCATAGTTTTTGATCTTCTTTTTCTTAGCTAAGTCCCTTTAACATTTCATACAACAACAGCGTGGTGATGATGAACTCCTTTAACTTTATCTTGGATGTACTTTATCTGCCCTTCCATTCTAAATGATAGCTTTGCTGGATAGAGTAATCTTGGATGTAGGTCCTTGCCTTTCATAACATGGAATACTTCTTTTCAGCCCCTTCTTGCTTGTAAGGTTTCTTTGGATAAATTAGCTGGTAGTCTTATGGAAACTCCTTTGCAGGTAACTCTCTCTTTTTCTCTTGCTGCTTTTAAGGTTCTTTCCTTATCTGTAATCTTGGGTAACTTAATTATGACGTGTCTTGGTATGTTTCTTCTTGGAGCCAATTTCTTTGGGACTCTCTTAGCTTCCTGGACTTCGTGGAAGTCTATTTCCTTGGCCAGATTGGATAAGTTTTCCTTCATTATTTGTTCAAATAAGTTTTCAATTTCTTGCTCTTATTCTTCTCTTTCTGGCTCCCCTATGATTTGATTGCTGCAATTTTTAAAGTTTTCCCAGAGGTTCCTCAGCCTCTCCTCATTTTTTTGAATTCTTGATTCTTCATTCTGTTCCAGTTGGATGTTTATTTCTTCCTTTTGTTCCAAATTATTGATTTGAGTCCCAGTTTCCTTCCCTTCATTGTTGGTTCCCTGTATATTTTCCTTTATTTCACTTTGTATAGCCTTCATTTTTTCCTTCATTTTGTGACCAAACTCAATGATTTATGTGAGCACCCAATTACCAGTGTTTTGAACTCTGCATCTGATAGATTTTCTATCTCCTGGTCGCTTAGTTCTTTTTCTGGAGTTTTGATCTGTTCTTTCATTTGGGCCATATTTCTTTGTCTCAGCACACCCGTTACATTGTAAGGGGTGGAGCCCTAGGTATTAGCCAGGGCAGGACAATCCACTTCACTGCGTTGTGACACTGTCTGTGGGGGAGGGGTCATATTGGGAAGAGTGCTTGCTTGCTGGCTTGCTCAGCTCTTGCTCCATTTTATGTCAGTTACCTCGCTTCCCAGAAGTGGATTGTGTCCTTTAAGGTGCTGATTCCTAGATAGGTGGGTTTGTGTACATGCTGGGACCCTGTGGGTCTCTCCAACGGACTCTCCTTGTGAGGCTGGGAGTTTCTTCCACTGCTGCAACCCCCACAGATTTTCACAGCCCAGGGTTTTGAGTCTTTAGTTTCCTGTGCTGAAACCCTTGGTTTCGTGGTCTCTTTCGCTCCCCAGTTGTCCATCCCTGCTTATCCCCACATGAATGTGGGACAGCATGGTCAGTGAGCTGCAGCCTTGCCTGCGTGGTCTGCTGCCCAGCCCAGTCCTCTCTGCCCGGGCTTCCCATCTCTGCCCTTCCTACCAGTCTGGATGAATGTTTCTTTAACTCCTTGGTTGTCAGACTTCCATGTAGTTTGGTTTTCTGGCAGTTCTGGCTGGTTTTTGTTTTTAAATTTGTTCATACCCTTCTTTTGGTTGTGTGAGGAAGGGAAGCATTTCTACCTGCTATGCTTCCATTTTGGCTGCAATCTTGATTCTAAGCATCCTGTTGAGGAGAATGTAGCACCATTTCCACACCTCATGAAATTGCATATCCTAGGAGAGTCTCATTTCATAGATTCCTCCCGTTCCAGGTTAGCTCACTTGCTAAGTATGTAGTTATTATTTTACTTTTTGTACTTTGCATGTCTGTTCATTGATCAATATCACAACTCAAAATCATATCATTTGAATATATTTCTCATCTAAGAAATATCCCTGAACCACAGAACATTCCCAGTCAAAGGGTAGAAAGTAAGGAATCAGACTAAGGATTTAAAGCAACTAAGTTCAAATTAGTATTAGTGAAAACCTTTCTAATTCAAAACTTGTTGCTTGTGATTCTTAATCAAGAAGCCAACTGATAATGAATGAACATCTAAATGTACCTTAGTTTAGTGTTATATTAGCGGCTTATAAAAAATAAAGGTTAAAAATAACTTTTATTCTTCTTTGTAACTTTTCAGGTCTTCATCATTAACTAGGGGTAGGTAAAGGCTGGCCCCTACTCTGTTCCCAGATCTTGAACTAGACATAAAATTCAAACCTAGGTCTGTCTGATTATACAGCACATGTTCTTAACATCTAGGTTTTACCAACTCTTTCTAAAAGAAAAACAGGGCCAATAACACTCAAAACATACTCAGCTACAGACACATAATTATCATCATCATTATAATACTAGCCTATGCTCTGAATGCCAGAAAATATAGAGAGCATTAGGGAAATACAGACTAGCATTCCAGCTGTATGACCATCTGCCGCACCCAACCTCCCCTGTTATTCCTGCTTTGGAGGCACCAACCCTTCATGCATCAGCAGTTTGGTTAAGTGTTTCCCAACTGTCAAACTACTGCACCATTTCCAGATTCACAGCTCAGGTTCTTTTTTCTTTTTTTTTAAACTATTCCCCTCACTTGGACTCTATGGTCTCATTCCACACATCACTGCCCAGTAGCACCTGTGCAGTTATTTAGCTACCAATCCCCATGGAAGGAAGAAAATAGCCCTTGCAGCCAAGGCCCGACATGTCAATTTATGGTTAGTAATAGTGGCTCATCCTGACATCTGCTGGGATGGGCCTAACACTAATTAGCAAAAAGCAAACTGTGTCCATGTGCCGGCCATTTTGTTCCCAATGTAATAGCTTACTTGTATAATTGACAGCTAATGTTCTCATTAGAAGCATTTAGTACATCAGAGTGATATTTTCTTGGCTTGCAAAACGTTGCTGAACATTAGCTCATTGCACAAATCAGCCATATCCTTACTGATTTAAACTCAACAAATATTCACTGAGCATCTACTCTGTGTGACAGTCTGGGGCATATGTATTTAACAAAGTTCTCCAAAACAATCCTATTAAAGATTAAAAATGTGATTTCTGAATTAACAGGACTGATATTAAGATCCCTGCTCACCAATTACCGGTGATGTGCCCTGAGACAAATAATTTAATCTCTCTAAGCCTCAATTTCTTTACCTGTAAAATGGGGGAATAGCAGTATCTAATTAGTCTGAGGATTTATGCACAAAGAATGTCTAGCAAAGTGCCTGGCACACAATAAGTGCTCAGGGAGGAGAAATGGATTGTGGAGACCTGGCCTAGAGCCTTAGCTTTACCTCTTACCGGCTGGGTGTGCTTGGACAAATCAGTAAACTTCTTTGGGTTTAGTGATCATTTAATCCTTGCTAAAACTGTGCTTGGCACATAGTGGATATAATACATCTACTTGGAGAATGGATCAGTGTATGATAAAAACTGCAAAAACCTTGCTGGGTTCTCAGGTATCTTCCTAACTCTGATGAATCATGTTTTGATACCTCATTAGATACGTAACTGATGTGCAAGAACACCCATCCTAGGCCAAGAGACACTGTAACTTTTGGAGACTTTATTTCTTTTATTATTTTCAATTTTAATCAAAGACATGTTCCTCATGAAGGCTTACATTTTAGGGGTTTTTTTTCTTTCAAAACAAACCCATTAATTTAAGAAAACAATAAAAGTGAAGCCCACGCTAATTATCAGAGCTGGAAGTGTGCATAATACAACAAACACTGTCATATAATTTGCATATAAATAAAGTGGAAATAAAAACAAGTGGGAGTGCTATTTATTCTGAAATGAGATGTATACATTTTTTAAAAAATCATCTTTTCTTTGTAATAATTGTCAAGGTTTGGAATGGTCATCTCGATGGTAATTCAAAAAATATTGAGGAGGGAGAGTGGCCAGGCCCTGAGGAATAGCAAATGTCTTTTAATTAATAATTTTCGACTTGTCTTCTCCTTTTTCTGGATAATTTTTCAAGAGGCCCTCGTGGCAGTATGTGAGGAAGTACTTCCTTCCAGTTGGCATTTTGTATATGTAAAGGATAACCATGTAATTCACCTCCAAACCAGTGTGTTTTCAGAGTAAACTGGAACTATCTTGGGCAAACTGGGGCAAATGGTCACCTTAAATTTATAATATCATATTGACGTTATCTCTTTATGTTTTCCTTAATCGCAGAATGTCACGGCTGCCAGGAAATCTAGAGCATGTCATTTGGGGCTGCCATGAGCAAAAGCCCCGCTGGCCAACCTAGCCCAGCCTGCAGGGGCTGGCTCTCTAGCTGTGCTGCACAGCGAGTGACCTGCCAATGGCGTTGCCGTGTCATGGAAACTGTATTTTCTTGCTTCACGGCCCTGGGAATTGCAGCATTAGCCAGCACAGTTGTTGTGACCCAGGTAACTATTGCCTCAGTGGAGTCTTGGTTGTTATCCAGGAGTTACTAGTTGAGAGGTTTGACTTTTCTCAAACAACTTCCTTGTCCTCCTAGCTCAGTTGAAAGAGAGGGTGAGCATTTTGTCGGCCCTTTCTCTAGGAGTCCCACCCAAGCCCGAGAGCCTTCAGTTATTGACATGTTCCTCCCATTCCTGCACATTTTCCTGGTTGTTTCAGTGGTTGTGTGCGGACATCCTCTTATTAGTCAATCAGCCCACTCTCCTCTGAGCTGTACCGCACTAGGCACGATTTTCCTCCCTGGGATTGAATAAAAGTACTGGGCTAAACAGAGCAATGGGAACATAGAGAGAAAGCAAGTGAGCGAGCAGGCACATGTAAGCACGTACATTTCAGAAATATGTGATGTGAGCCAAGAAGAAGCTGTACATATTCCAGCTATTGGGCTGTGGGTTTCCAGGGGCCAGGCCTTTGCATAGAGCACATGCTCTGCTATTGTGTCTTGAATAAAGAAATCTAAATGGCTTTAAGTTTACTAGGAAACTTCTAATGTGGGGAGTCCTTACATGAGGGGGTCCTTTCCTGGCCTGGCCTGGCCTTGACGAGACGTGGCTCTCCACCAGGCTGGATTATTTATAGGCCAGGCTAATAACACAGGGGTTTTCCTTTGTCCTTTCAAAGTGAGGAAAGTGGGATCATCACAGGACTTTTAAGACTCATGCTAAATTATGTCGGATGTTATCACAGTATTCTGTTTCAAATGCTTTTAGAAATGTTTGCAGATTAGCGCCTTCTGGCATCATGAAACATGAGAAGGCCAGGCTGTGTGTGGTCAAACAGGCCTGACACTGAATCTCAGCTCCATCCCCAAGGAAGTGGGCAGGCCTGAGTTAGTTAACTTCTTTGTACCTAAGTTCTTGTCTATTTATGCCAATTATTTACATATTTTCATACACTGACTATTTCCCAGGATTTCACAATATTATTTTATTTAAAATACCTAGGGCAGAGTCTGCTACATAGTAGCCATACACTTTTGCAGAATGAGTATGCGTGCGTAGGGCCATAATAACAAGTAGAGCTTTTTCTTCTTATCTTTCACTAGTTCCTTTACTCTTAAGTAGCAATGAATGGCCTTAGATCCCGGTTTAACAACACTGAGAGGGGATGTTCTTTTGATTTGATCCACATTCAGATTGTACTTTGCTGATCTTTAGATGGTATTATGTTCGTAGAACCCAGTATACAATAATGGTAGAAAATAATATTGATTACATGAATGACAGCAATAAAGGAAGGGGATTAGACATACAGACATTTGTGCTACATGAATGCATTTCTTTAAATTATATTTTGAATAGAATGAATAATCCATGTATACAAATATTCAATAAAATGTGAGCCACCCTCCTGCTCAGACCTTCAGTTCCCCTCCTCAAGGACAATACTGTGGTGGTTTTAAAACATGTTTGCAAATTCTTTGACACTCCTCCTATCAAGAGCGTCATATACTCTATGACTCTTCCAGAGTTTAGGTAAACATTTTGTCTCCTCGCCTTTAATCAAGACAAACTATGGCTGCTCTGACCACTGCAGTAGGGTTGCGGTGAGTCTATGTGAGTTCTGAGACCAGGCCATCAGACAGCGTGCAGCTTCCACCTGGTGCTGCTGGTGCACTCTTGGACCCCTGGTCTCTTATGTAAGACAGCTGACTATCTTGAGGCCACCGTGCTGTGAGAAGGCCTGAGTCACATGGAGAGGACATGTTTAGACTTTCCAGTAGACAAATCCAGCTGAGCCCAGCCTTTGAATCACCTCTTCCCCCAGGCGCCAGAAGTGTCAGTGAAGAAGTCTCCAGATGATGCCAGCCCCAGCCATGTGGGTCATTCCTAGCCATTCAAGCCTTCTTTGCCGAGGCCCCAAAGTGCCCTATTTAAATTCCTGGCCCACAGGATTCACAAGCAGCATAACACGGGGGTTGTTTCACACCACTAAGTTTTGGAGTGGTTTGTTATGTAGAATCAGTAGCCCAAACAGTCATTAACACTGTGTATCTCTCCAGATAAATTTCAGGCATATATAATCACACACATGTATTTATGTTATTCCCTTTTCCTTTAAGATCAATAGAAGCAAACTATGCATACTGTTATATACCATGCTTTTAAACAAGGAATCAGTTCAGAAATGTTCTACTCACAGGTTTGCGGACATCAGGTAAGGTCACCCAGAGGGGAAACACTATGGGGAGAACAATGAGGAAGGTGACTTGCTTGCGGGGGTTGGAAGGCCAGGCCAGGCTGAGAGGCTGGTCTTCCTCATCATCACCTGTTTCTGTGGGCTGCTGTAGAGAGAGAGAGGGAAAAAATAAATAACAAAACAAAAACACTGATAATGTCCACAGGCCACAAGAGCAAGAGTATGAAACGGGTGAAAGTTCTGGGCCTCAGAATTTTTCTTGTGTCATCCCAGAAATGTTATCCATGTGTTTTGTAGGTTTGCAAGGGGATCCCACCTGTCCCAGTCTGAATCCCAGGGACAAGTGATACAATGCCCAGCCACAAGGACTTAACTTTCTTTTTCCTTCCTGAACACTCTTCAGCTTCTCAAATGAACTGATCATTCAACTGGGATGGGCTACAGCTATGATCCGTGAGCTTTTGATGAGAAATCATGCCTGCAGAGCAAACGGCCCTGATGCCCGCCTTGCCCTTCTCCCATCTCCTTGAGTGTAAAGCCGCAGGATTCATGATAGAAATCCTTGGGAAAAATATTTTTTAAAAAACTTAAAATATTTATTATTTATTTATTTTTAGAGCACTGATTTTGAGTGGGCAAATGAAAGTAGCTATAGCAATAATTCAGTAACAATACTCGCCTCCCTTCAGCGGCCTTGGAAGAGTTAAGCTCATGCACTATTGTGTGGTTGTGAGTTTTAACCAGTTTAATCACTTTGTTAAAATCTAAACCATTTTACTTCCAGCCAAAGGCTTATTATGCAGACATAAGTCCCATTCTCAGAGAAACAGAGGACAGCGAGCAAGGCCCCAACCTGTAAGTGTCAGCTGCACAAGGCCTGGGGCCGGCGGGGAGCGGGTAAACGCCAGAGTCTCCGACTTGGCAGCAGGCAGCCAAGGTTTTATTCATCACCTGCTGAAGTCAGCAGCTTTTGAAGTCCCAGAGCTAAAGAGACAGAAGGTGGACCTGGGCGCTGGCAGGATGACCATTGGCCTGTCAGATGGGCCCTCCAAACCTCCAAAACAGCCCTGCAGACAGCATCTATCACTTCCATCCCTGCTTGTTTAAAAATGAAAGTGCAGCAGCAGGACCAAGCATCAGATCTAAAAATATCGGCAGGAACTTTTCCAGGATGCTTCCTTTTGAGACCATATAAATAACCGCACGGGCTTCATAAAGCTCCTGCCCCCGTGGCTTTGCTTCCAGCACCACGCACTATTTCAGGCAACAGCACCGACTCCCACCGGCACATCTCTCCCTAAGGAGTTGGCAGGTGGGGCAGGTTCAGGACAGCTGGATAGGGGATAAGGACTAAACTAGAGGGAGCATTATATTTATTTATAATTTAAATCATAATAGTGCCAAAAGGATTTGTAGTGGCTTACTCAATCACCCACACTCTACAGGAGTTAAATTAAAAATAATAACAATAATTAAAAAGGAATTTTAAGCCATACCGGAAAAGGTTGGTAATAATAGTTTCTTTCTCTTTGGGCATATGTCCTTGGCAGTAGGTAAAATAGTTTATAAACAGCAAATAGAAGGGGATTAAGAGGATTAGGTAATAAAGCAGAATTAGGAAGTTGGCGCAGTTTATTTTGGTCGTCTGGATCCTCATTAAATATACTTCTCACGCTCTCCATCCCTTTGCTATGCAATATGTTGGAAAAAAAGAAAGATCTAAAATCAATAATCTACATTTCTACCTTAGGAAATCAGAAAAAGAAGAGCAAATTAAACCCAAAGTAAGCAGAAGATTTAAAATTTGAGAGCAGAAATCAATGAAATCGAAACCAGAAAATCAGTAAAGTCAACAAAACCAAAAGCTCCTTCCTTTGCTATGCAATTCTTGGTGGTTCACCCGCTGCTTTCTTTACTCCATTCTGACGGCTCCTGTCCCTGATGGAAGTGTGGGTGGTGCTGTACAGGAGATACAGCGGATGGAAAGAATATCATTCCCTGTTGAGATCCCCAGCCTCCCAAAGTGTCCGCTGGCCATATGGATAATCTCTGTGTAACGAGGCCAATGAAGCTTAAGGACACAGGTGCATTTTAACTGTTCCCTCCCAGTTAACCCAAATAAATGACTTTCCCCTCCCCACCTGATAGATGCCTCAGAATTGGGGAGGACCATGAGAGAGGTGAGGTGTTGCGTCCTTCCAAATAGGCACCCTGTCTCAAACAAGACAGGTGGTGTTATTCAGTCAGAGGTTTGCAGCCCTTCCCTGAAGACTCAGCAAACTGACCTGATTTAGGCTCCTCGCCCTTCCAGAGATGACACTCCAGTCTGGTCTCCCACTACCACCCGCAATTTATAGCAACTTCTTCTAAACTCTAAGCTAACCTTTTTGTGAGAAAAAAACATAAGCAACTCTTTATGACTCATATCATTTTAATGACACCAACAGATGGTGACATTTCATCAGTAACCCTTCTGCTTATAACCTACGGGATTAGATCCTTTCTCCATCTGCCAAAGTCACCAGGCAGGCGGTACCACTAGCAAAGAGCAGAAAATAATTGTCTATTTAGATGCATAAGCTCTAAATACACTACTGTCCAACTCAAACAATTAGCTATATTGTACAGCTTCCAAAAGATGCATTTGAGGTGGCTGTTGCTAGGGCAGAAGTGGACAGGAGAGACTATGTCTTAGGCCATACAACTAGTGCTCCTCATGGGGACTTAAGGGCTTCTTGGGGGACCAGTCCTGCTATAGGGAAGTATAAGAGCCCAGAACCCTGGGGTGGATTCGAGGGGTGTCTTGGGAGCAAGGCTGTCAGTATATTTTAAGGGAGATTGTCTTTGTCTTCTTTCCAAGTGCAATCTCACTCTAGTTCAATGGGTGACAGCTTGCAAAATTATTAGAAAAGTGGAAAAAAATTCCTTTCCAAGGCTGGGGTCCATTGGCCTTTGCCGAAGCTGGGGCTGCTGGTTTGTTCATTAGTCTTAGCCCCAGGGAGCGCCTGCTGAGGTTAGGGACCTGAATTTCCAACTTTTCCTGGAGTTGTGGTACCATGGCTTGGACCTTGCAACAACCCATCCTTACTCCTTAAAATTTCTGTGGTGTCCATAGAAAACAAAACAATTTAGAGTGACCCAGAAAAGAATTCAAACAACTTTTCATATAAGGGTTTAAAGTCATTTGAAATCTTCAGAGAATGTCTGTAGAAGCCCTAGAGTTATGCCAAACCAGGGCCAGCAATGACTGCTTTAGGGCTTTACAATCTCTGATATGGAAAAAAGGAGACTAAAACACACTACTCTAAGTTCCCACATAGCGGTCTGCCGGCCGTCAGACCTTGAGGCACTCAGAGCAGCGTGGTGGGAAGAGGAGAGGGTAGAATTGCTGCAGCTGTGATTCCCTGGGCAGCAGCCACCATTGCCTACAGATGTGCACTGAGTGCCTTTAGGTGCAAAGCAGTGTGCTGTCTTCTAGGACTCTTGGTTTCCAGGAGACTTGAATTTAAAAGGGGAGACAGAACAAATGGCTCCAAAAAACATATTTACCCAGTTACAGAGATGCTGGCAGAAAATGTGGCAAGAGCTTCTGATTGTTCTCCAGTATCTATTCTGCCTGTTATGGACTGAATTGTGTTCTCCCCAAATGCATATGTTGAAACCCTACTCCCCAGCACCTCAGAATGTGACTGTATTTGGAGGTAGGGTCCTTTTAAAGAGGTGATTAAATTAAAACAAGGCCATTAGGGTGGGTCCTAAGGCAAAATGACTGGTGTCCTTATAAGAAGGGGATGGTAGGACACACAGAGATACATCAAGGATTTGCATGCAGAGAGGAGAGGCCATGTGGGGACACAGAAGAAGGCAGCCATCTGGGAGTCAGAAAAAAGGGCCTCAGAGGAAAACAACCCCAAGGACACCTTGATTTTGGACTTCCAGTCTCCAGAACTGTGAGGAAATAACTTTCCGTTGTTCAAGCCACCCGGTCTGAGTGATTTTCTTATAGCAGCCCAAGCAAATTAATACATTGCCCATCTGCGTTAGTGATAGCGAGCCCACTTTTACCTAGGCCTGGAATAAAGACTTCGTTTTCAGCCTCTCCTGCAATTAGGTATATCCATGTGATTAGGTTCTGACTGACTGGGGCATAATCCCAAGGTTCTTCTGCAACTTCCAGGATGTGCCTGTAAAGGGTGGAGGTGTGTCCTTCATCATTCCTTCCCAATTCTTGCTGGCCAGAATGGGGGCATTTGGTCAGAGCTTGAACAGCTGTCTTGGACCATGAACTGGAGAAACAATATAAGAGGATCAGAGCCTCTGACCCCAGCAAGAGCCATTCTAGTCTGGGGCTGCCTATACTGCTTATACTAAAATTCTATTTTACTCAAGCCACAGTTATTTTGGGTTTTTGGTTGCTCACAATGGAACCTTAGCCAGATAGATCCAGTGTTCTCTTTGTGAGGAATCAAGGGAGAAATATCTCAGCACCAGAAAAAGCCATGCTTCTTTTGAGACACTTTGAAAAAGTCTTAGAAATACTGTGAATCAGGCAAATGATGCTATTTTTCCTTTGCTTTCCACTGGGGATTTCACAGCCAAATTTGCAACCCCCATCCAGCAATCACAGTGTACCTCACTCCAGTCTTACTCTTTTCCTTTCCTTCATATCCTTTGCTGAATTCTCTCAAAAGTATTCATTTATCCCTTTTCATTGTGTGTATTTTTGTTAGCAGCCTCAAACCTTTGTGAAACAAGGTGGGGCAGACCGAGAACTAAGATTCCTCAATGCTGTAATGGAATTTTGGGGATAACTTTAGCAAAGATGGTGTGGCAGGAGATGTTATTCTAAGTGATAACTTGTAACAAACGGACAAAATCCTTCTAGAATTCACTTATCAACACTGAAGGCTGGAACCTGGAGGTCTGGCCACAGAACATCTACAGGCAGAAGAGGACAGTCCCAGGAGGCAGTTAGCATCTACTGGGAGGTCTCTGAAGCAATCGACCTGTTTTGATTTTTATTTATCTAGCACATGGGAGGAGTAGCAGCAGCCTGTCTGTAGTCTACTAATATGGGAACCTGTTTGGCTTTTTTGTATGTGTGCCTTACACTGTTCCTGTCTGGGCCTGGTATGGATAGTTAGC